CCTCCTACTAATTTTTATGCTCGCAATAATACAATAACAATCGTCATAGGCCATATAAGGAGAGGGCAGACCATTGAATTCTATGTGTGTGTGTGTGTTGTGTGTGTGTTGTGTGTGTGTTGTGTGTGTGTTGTGTTGTGTCTTGTGTGTGTGATCAGTGTAATGAACTTGTCAGCCAGCCATGTTTAGGGTGTGTGAGTGGAGCCCAAAGAAAGTCACAAACAGACAAATAGACAGACAGACAGACAGACAGACAGTACGCATAAGTACAATGAACACCGAGAGATATGAGTAAATACATAAAAATACAACGAATGTGAATACTCGTACTCGTACTCGTACGAGTCTTAACCGCATAATGACTATTCAAATGCGAGCTGCTCCATTTGTTTCCAGGCCGATTGAGATGCAGATAGGCAATAGAAATACTTGCCCCGTAGAGCCCCATAGGTAATCCATTTGGTTTGCCGATATCTGTGCAGCTGTCACAAAGACACCAAAGACACAACTTATACACTACACAACAGTTAGTTTGAAAAGTATGCGCGCAGTTGGGCCAACACTCAGCAGTTAGACAGCCAGCCAGCCAGCCAGCCAGCCAGCCAGCCAGCCAGCCAGCCAGCCAGCTGCGCCCGTAAGCGTATATATGCCCCCTCCTCCCCGCTCTCCCTGTTCCCCCACCCCTTATCCACACAAGCTGCCTTGTGGGCTGACTAATGAAACACAACCCAATAATTTAGTTAGTTTTACCTACGCATGCGCAATTCAACATACAGTCGATGCCTCAACAATTGTCACAGACTCTAAATAAATATATTGAATAGCTGACGATTAAACACCCTCTTCACTTTATAACTGATCCGTACATAAATACTATCTTTGAATTTGCGATGTGTTTAACTGATCTTTACTCAAAACTTATATGAAAGTTTCTTAAGCGTTAACTAAATTCTGTTTTATTGTAGAATGTTGCTGCATAAATCGAAGTTCTTCTACAGATAGTATTATATATAGTCTACATATGCTAAATGATATTCCAGGAAACTGACTAACACATTCTTTGATTGATGCAATTAGGAATTTTGCAAATATCTTGGAGTGTGTTGCATATTTGCTGGCAAAATTTGAATGACCCAAATGTCAGGGTATTCAAAAAAGTAGTAAAAAATGTCACTGAACTCGCGCGCGACGCTTTTTCCAGCTATTTTTTTCTTCTTTTTTTTTTGGGTGTAGGCCAGGCTTGAGCTGGGAAGTAAACAAAGGCACGTTTGGAGAAAAAAATAAAAATAAAACGAAAAAAAAGCTTAGTTCGTAGCGTAGTTTTTTTTAGCTGGTTACAATTGTAAGTAGCACAGCACGACGACGGCGACGACGACGATGGCGACGACGACGCCGACGCCGAAGTCAACGGCGACAGCAGCTGAAGCAACTGCGCAGGCGCGCGCGTGTGCGTCATGAAATTAGTTTATTTGTTTGCATAAGTTGTTTGTCTGTGTGTGTGTGTGTGTGTGTTGGTGTGTGTGTGTTGGTGTGTGTTAGTGTTAGTGTTGTTGTAGCAATTTCTAATAAATTTGTTGTTGGCTGGCAGCGCCAGTGTCATGCACACCTGGAGCATAATTCGCCAGCCATGAGTCAATTTCCGTCAGCTGCGACCAAATTATAACAAAATTGTTCAGAGTTACATATATAACACAAAAAATGCATATGTTTAAATGAAAAGTGTGTGTGCGAGTGCGAGTGCGAGTACTCAACCGGAGAGCCGAAAGGGTATGCAATGGGCTAGGGTTGTTAGAGGCGGGGCGGGGGTGTGAGGGCAATAGGGGAAAGCCAGCCCCACTTAAGCCATAAAAATGGGCTTGGAATTGTAATAGAGGGAATACTGCGTTGCGACGTTAGAACAATAAACACTGTACAAATCAATGCTCGATGCCACTTGAATTCATCCAGAGCGACTCACTGAGTCCCAACGAGATTGGGAATTGGGCTCTTCGATTTTTTTATTATTTGAATTTCCAGCACAGGGTTTGCCCACTTGAACGATCGATGACATTTCAGTTTTTATTTTAGTATTTCCACTCTCTGTGTAATTATAATAATACATAAATTTGTGCTACAGCGCACAAAACGAGAAGAACGCAACTGAAACAACTACAAAGTGTATCCAACTAAGAAATTCCCTATAAAATGTGAAGCGACATTCAACGACTTTAAGGAAATGAACTCGACTTTTCTAGCTGATCAGTCATTTGGTTTCCTCTGCTTTTTTTTTTGTGTTTTGTGTTTCACTTGTTTATAATACCCGCCATATGCATTACCATAATGAGGGGTATACAAATATGAAATCTGTAAAATCATTTCGAGTGCTACAAAGTTTAACGATTCCAGTTACGTACTTATAATACGTACCTAAATAAATATGAAAATAAGATGCCCTCCGGGCACTGCTGGTCTTTCGGCCCGCAGCCCGTAGCTGTACTTATATGGATACCATAAAAAAAATAAAATAAAATATGCGCTCCATGTCCACTTGAGCTGAAACTGTAAGCGAGTGTGAACTGTAACATGACTTTAACACATATGAATCAAGCCTAGTTCACTGTACTAAGTAAGTAGGAGGCACATGCAATAACTTTGTTAATTTGCCATAATTACTCTCGAGTACAAAGAGAGAGAGAGAGAGAGAGAGACAGACAGTTACTGACTGATATATAGTTAGTTTTTGTTTTATTTTTTTTTATTATTATTTTGTTGTGGGCCTCACAATGCCGTGCTTTATTTTAAGGCACAAGGTTAACACATATTATTTTGTCGTTGTCGTCGCTACTGCGTGTAGGTTCCACACAATGTAAAGCACTAGCAATAATTATTTTTGGTTTTAATATTAACAAAACGAAGAAAAAATGGAAAGAAAAAAAAAAAAACATTGACAACCATTTACTCAGAAATAAACCAGTTTTCAGTTGTTTAATTTCAATGCTTAATGGTCACAATTGATTGGAGTGATTATATTTTATTATTATAAACGTTATTGTTAGCGCATTTCAGTTTTGTTATTGATGTGATCTCAGCATCTCTGAGAGCTTACTGTCAAAAGTTGAGTAGTCGGCAAAGAAACATAGAGCGATTTTGTTCAAATTATTTATAGTAAATTTGTTATTCACTTAATTTTGTATATATACAAAAATATCTTAACACTAGTCTGGCATTTAGCTCCTATTGCTATTAACCTAGGAACACCCATTCCAAACTAGGTGTTAAATCGACAAAGAGCTGCAAACTTAAATTGAATAATTATCAACTGTTAATCAATATAATGATGGAAATAAGTGAACAAAAATAAGTAATAATAATCAAAAGCATAAGCACAATTTGACATCGTTCAATGACTAAGTTCCTTCCATAATATGTACAGTATGTGCACTCGTCTATACACCTATTTAATACTCATACATACATATACACATATATATATATATATACATATATGAGTACTCACAAATGCAAATTGTAAATCAGATACGGCATAAAAATATTGAACACATGGCGCAGAGCTAAGTGAACTGAAGTTTGTGCGGGTGTAAGTGGGGGGAGATGGGGAACGTGTGGCGGGTGGAGGGTTGGCATGGTGTTGGATAAGGGGATAGCGAGCTGAAAAATCGAAATGAAATAAAATTAAATAAAGCACAATAAAACGTACTTAAAGATTGACGATTTGTGCCAACGCCAGCGAGCACAGTGTGTCCAAATTAACTATTACCAAGTGACGACCATGAATGCTAAGGAGCCACCATTTTTTATCTATAAATTGTTGAGAATTATATTCTGTTAAATCATTTTAATGGCTGTCAATATTGAATCAAATTAGCATACTAAATTGTATAGTTTAATTGATTAAATAAGTAGTAAATTTAAATATACAATAAATCAATTGAATATATAAGATATTTTATTAACGAAATAATCTGAACATTTATATTTTCTTGGTGTTTTATACATGTTTCTCACCAATGTGAATAACTTAAAACTTTTGGGTTGAGATGACACACATACAAGCATATATAATTAAGTACACATGTGTATTGGAATTATGGGCATATCGCCTATATTTATATATATGCAGACGATTATGAAGAATTTCTGTGTGTGTGTGTGTATTTGAGTGTGTATTTTTGTATGAAGCAATTGTGTTCGATCTTAATATAATTGGCTGTCAGAGCGACGTTCGATCGCCCCTGAAATATACACACTCACACACACTCACACACACACACACAATGACAGCTCACAAAATGTCGGCAGCTGTTTGTTAGCCGAGTGAGCATTGTTGTTGTTGTTGCTGTGTGTGTGTGTGTGTGTTAATTTAAATAAAATTCGTTTGATACTCCTTATACAATTGCATTTCGAGTCATTATTATTCATAATTTCTTGGGCCAATTCAAAATGGCCTGGAGAACATTCATACATTTTTGTGTGAGTCCCTTCGCTTCCCTCCACACACTCATTGTCTCTCCGGCAACTGTTGTCTGTTGGCTAATTGAAAATCAATTAATGTGGCATCGCATATTGGCAACATATCAGAATATCAGACGATGTCTGTCGCTTGTCAGAAATCATACACAAAAACAAAAGCAAAAACCAGCTCAAATCCTTTTCATTTTTTATTTTTATTTTTTTTTCTTTCATTTTCATGATTTTGATTTCGTTTTTGTTTTCGGCTTTTATACAGACAATTGGAATTTAACTCCAGAAAGTCAGGTTCAATGAATCTTAAAGTGCATCTTAAAGCATTTCACAAGTCTCAAGCGGCACAAGTTTTGCATGCCCAAGTAGCTCCGGCATTTGGGTTCAATTTGTGTTCAAGCCAGAGATTTGAGTTTTGGGGGAATGGTAATTGAAATTAATATGGGAATGGGAATCATCGTTTGATTGACTTGTAACTGAAATTATATAGCACAGTCACTAATTGTATTGTATTAAACTCTTTTCATCTATTCTTTCAGGTGAACAAACAGTACACAGCCAACGATCTGGAGGCTTTTATGAAAATAGCCGCCAACTGGCAAAGCACCAATCACAATCTGCTGGAGGGTGTCGATCTAAAGACAGGTGAGACACAATAGCTCTTTATATACTATATACTACAGCAACTAACATATTTTTTTGGCGGTTTTCTTGCAGAAATGACGCAATACATGAACAGTCCATCGATGAACATGTATAAGAAACGAGAGCGCACACAGAACTGGAACCATCAGGAGAAGAAATACTTGCTGGATCTGTGCCGCAAGGATATGCGCATCATAGAGAATAAGCGACTCGATGCTGGTCTCACTGCCGTCAAGAACAAGGCCTGGAAGATAATACACCAAAAGTTCTCCAATCAATTTGGCACAGATCGCACCTGCAATCGCCTCAAAGAGCAATGGCGCCGCATGAAAGGTGTGTAGCACTTAGCAACTAGATGATATCTAAATGTTTAAGCTAATCTCTCCATCATTTACAGCATGCACACGCAATGAGATACTCGACTATAATAATCGCCTGGCCAGATTCGGCGCTGAGGTTGCCGATCGCAAGAAACCGTCGCCGTTCACCTTTGAGGTTTGGGATTTTATGCAGGAGGCGAAGAAGGCATGCAAATCGGAGGCACTCGATGGCATTGATTACTCGAAAATACCATTGGCTCTCGAGGAGGACTTTGAATATCGCGATGACTACAAATTCAATGCCGATGAGCATGATATGGATGAGTAAGTTCAATTGCACTCCCTAAATAAGATGATGAACGAGTAGCTTACCAAATTTATATTTGTCAATTCACAGTAGTCGCACGCCGCCACAGGAGCTGTGCGATGTGGACATCAAGGAGGAGGAGACCAATGAGACCTTCAATGAGACGTACAACAATCACAGCAACGATATTCATGCCAATGGTGAACGACTCAGCGTTTCGCCCAATCACAGTCGCAATGGCCTGCACGAGCCGGAAAGTCCTGCAGCCGCATCGCTGGACACGAGTGCTGCCTTTATGCCACCCACCGGCGGTGAGATGTCCGGGTTCCAGCCCAGCTTCAACATGAACAACATATCCGCTACGTTGGAGGCGCTCAATGCACTGCGCAGTGGACAATTTCCGAGTGCAGCGGCAGCAGCAGCTGCTGCCATACAACAGCATCAGGCACAGGCTGTGGCCCTGCAGCAACAGCAGCATCAGCACAATAACAACAATAACAATGAGGATGATGATGAGCTGATGAAACCATTGGCCAAACGTCAGCGCACAACCAGCAGCAGCCTGGCCGTCGAGGATCAATCGACGACGCTGCCGCTGGCATTGCCAACGCCACAATCCGCAGACAGTCAAGCGTTGGAGCGCAGCAGCAGCGGCATTGGTAGCAGCAGCAGCAGCAGCGCCATCGCTGCCACAGCCCTTAATACAACCAGCAGCGGCAGCAGCAGCACCACCGCCAGCTCCTTTGAGCTGCGCCTGTTCATGGAGATGCAGAGTAAGGAGCACATGATGCGCATGAAAATACTGGAGGTACAATTGCAGGCGGCCAAGCACAGTCGCGATCTTGTGGAGATTAACAAGACGCTGGCGCTGCAAAAGCTACAGGAGCTGGCCAGCAAGCGACTGCCCAGTTAGAGTAGCGCATCGAAGCCTGTTAATTGCTTGATTATCATCATCGTCATCATCGTTTCACATTGTTGTTTTAGTTGTAGATGTAACTTTGTAGCACGTAGGCACTTAGCACGTAGGGCGTAGCTAAAGTTAAATTTTAGGCTAAGATAACAATTTTGTATCCAGAGACAGACAGCACAGACGACATACACATACAAACACACACACATACACACACACGCACACACCAACATTGGGCTGCAATTCACAACATTCCTGGCATTGTTTTGACCAGTATTTAAAAGCTAGAAGCACACACACACACACACACACACACACATAGAGACAGATAGACGGCAGCTCATTTCGCTAGCAGCGGCGCACAAAAGTATGCCATATTATTTTATATTGTTAAAGGACTCTCGCCCCCACTACAACAGCAACCCTTTACATACAGCCTACCTCACACAAAAACACCATTACACCCACACACACACACACACACACACAATTAAGAGTGTGGGGGGCGGGAGTTGGCGCGTGTTTTGTGGCTCTGCACTTGACCAAGTCAAGTGATTTGTGAATACGCCTGAGAACGCATTCAAGTTTTTAGTTCTACTTAGTTTTAGTTCTAGTTGTAGTACTTGTCACAGCTCTCCAAGTTGCTCAAATCTGCATAAACAACTACACCCACACCGATACCCACAACAAACACAACACACACACACACACACACCCAACAATGACAAAAAATCACACTTACACTTTACTTACCACAAATGTATTTTAAAATGTACTTATATAATATACATCTATATATATTATTTTGACTTGAGTTCGACTAACGAAATGCACAACAAAACCTTTTTGTATCTTATTTTAGACCTAAGTTACTCACTCCATAAATTACGAGTATATTATTATATTATATGTATGATCAAAATTTTGAATGCTGATTTATATATTTATTTTGTATAGTTCGTATGTCGACATGTTTTTCGTTTTTAAATGCCATATTAATTTCCAATTATCCTCACACATTTATTGTTTCAAATGTTGTTAAGCGATCTATGATATATGTATTTATATACATATATATCATACATTATATAAAGAAACTTATCATTTAAAGCAGCACTTTATCTCTTTTGTTTATTGACTTCTGTTATGTAACGCTTCTTGTAAAGCAATTGTAAATGAGAAATACAAACTATTTTAAATAAAAAAAAGAGAATCATATACTGAAAATCACTGCAAATTTATTTTTTTATTAAAATGGATTGCATATTCCTCATTTCGACTCTTTCTTCAAATTGATGGCATCGTTCAGCAGTTGTTTATTGCTGCGCAATCTTGAATCCACATATTGTTCCTGTAGCTGTATATAATCACTTATACGCGAGAGCAATTCACGCTTCTGCAATTGATCTTTAATTGAGTGTCTGGCCAAGAATCGAGATGAGCTACTTACGCGAACCAAGTTTCCAAATTGTTTACTCCATATCGTTAGGTGCTGGAAAAATAGTATGACTTATTTATCGTATTTGATTGGTTCAATTTACCTTCTGTTCAAGATTTCGAAAATTTAGCTCGTCTGAAAACAAGCGCAGTTGTAGAGGAATATCATTTTTCCGGCTCGGGAAATTTGCTCCCATACATCTGTGCCTGCAACAGCTCCACATTTTAGAAATTCTAAATTTTCCAAATACACTGAATGGATAGAAAGGATTACAGATCTTGAACTGCCTACTGCTTCGTTGTTATGATGCTCGCAATTTCCATTTGCCCAGTTGTGCTATTTTCCGCTTCATTTGTATTTAGATTGTCTTCAACCTGTTGGATATTTGACATTTGTGTCTTATTCGGCATTTTTTCGCGTAGATTCATCAGTTGCTCGTTTTGCTGTTGTGGACATAATATTAATAGTGATTTGGTATAAATGTTAAACAATTTTCAATACATACTAATTTCAAAAAGTGCACATTTTCTTCAGCCTTTGCTCTTTCGTAGAGGCCTTTGTTGTAGTTTCGAGATAATGTAATAATATATATTTGTGGAAAAGCCTCTAATATTGGCTTTAATAAGGTTACAGATTTAAGAAATTTACAAGCAGACACCATTATGCCTATATATATAAATAAATTTTGAAATGGCCTTTTAATAAATCATTTTTTTTAGAATGATATTTCGGCCAAAGGCAGATTTGACATTTTTTTAGACACGCTTACTGAGTTTTTGTATGGAATTATCACGAGTTCCTTAAGGGATTGTTCGTTCTCGCAAATATATGATTTTTTACCTCGAATTCTTTAACTCTTTATACATCTTTTCAATGTCCTTTTTGATTTTTCTTTGTTTTTCGATGTTAGCTTTTATCAGTCCTTCGAATTGCGCAAATTGCTTTAAATGGAAGTAAAGAAATTCATGTGTAATAATGCAAGAAAGTAATTTTTCTATATATATATATACGAACCAGTTTCCGGAAGTACAAGTTTTCCAATGCCTTGCCTCTTTTTATGATCTCTTTAGAATAATGTCGATCTATTAATATACTTTTTGAGTCGAGGCCTGGTTTCGTATTAAAGACTCCTTGAAGAGACCAGCGTCGCTTTGGTTTCAAAGACTTGAAACTCGTTCCGTATCTGCTTGCCATAGTGAGTTTGGGAAATGCAACAAATAATTTAAATTTAAAATATTTTTCAAAAAGGGCCTATTCAGATTCGAAGTAAACGACTCAACTGAACCAAACAATAACCCTACTCGATTATAAATCAGTTCAGTCTGAATTCGATTTACTCTTTAATCGTTTTTCGCATTTTGAGTATCCTTTGCTTGTTCTTTGATCTTTGCTTCCACTAGATTCTGCTAATGGGATAAGTCTGAAAATTAATATATTGTGCCAAGACCACTCAAGAAACTCCGCTTTTCGTGAAGGGGTCTCGAATTTCAGAAAAGGACACCACTGCCCCTCCTGTCTCTCCCGCCAAAGCCCTTGTTTTGATAGTAACATTTTGTCTGGAGTTATCATATCCCCTTACCTTATACTATGTCATAGTTTGCTAAACTATGATAAAAGCCATTAACGCTAGATGCAATAAAAAATGGTGTTATTGAAGACTGACATCAAATAACATTGTTTCAGCTTATTTATCTAGGATCTGTGTTTTTTGTTCCGTTCAATAATTTTCTTTTTGATTCGTTCTATTTCTTTATCAAGCGTATCAATTCTTTCTCTTAAAAGATCTCTTTCTTTGAGTATTTTTTTACGCAGCTCCTTCAATTGTTCCCGTTGCTAAGGAAACAAGCTCAGTTAGCAAACGTACGTGAATTTTTAATACTCAAAATAGAAACCTTTTTTAAGAAGTGCACATTCTCTTTTGCCTTGCCAGCCTCATGAATCTTGTCGGAGTATCTACAGGTCGTTATATGGCAGGTGATAAGAAAATTTTTACTCGCAGAAGCACTCACTTAATCATTTTTTGACAGTAAAGCTTTTGGGGCTGTAATAACTTGAAGTTTCTGACGACTGATGAGATTTGCCAAATTTGAGTCATTCTATAATTTGAACACTTTAAATTTTGAAGAAGAAATACGAAAAGTGAAAAAAATTAACCTAATTAAATGAATAAACAAAATAAAAGCTGTCAAGTGTTAAATTTTGAAAGTAAAAAGAAAGCTTATCAGTCGTGAGAGAAACGTGTGTTATTCGTATTATAAATACTGCAATAGTTTATATAGTATATATATAGTTTACTACATATTGCCTCATCTTTCCAGCTTAATGCGGTATCTCTGAAATTATTTAATATAAAGGTTGAGGTCTTATCGGTTCCCAAACAGACTCCCCTCTTTCCGCCTAAAAACACATCATATTTTTTTTTTTATATAATTATATATTTGATCTCAGTTTAGCTTTATCTTTGGAATAAGTATTTTTGTTTACTAGGCGTACATTGTCTTAGGTTGGCCAGGTCGACGTATGGGCGCATCATAATATAATGGACGCGACTTTGGTTGGGATCCAGATGAGCCGCCTCTCCAGCTATTGCCACCAGAGTCACGAGAGGGAGTTGCCAGAGTGCAAGCAAACAACGCCAACAACAAACAGCAGAGTGCGATTAGTTTCATGATGTGTTATGCGAAACTTCTACTCGAGTAATAATACAGCTCAGCCGGGAACGTAGATTATTTATATAGCCAGTGGATTTAAGTTCGGCTGCTGTCGTAAAGCACCGCTCGGGGGCTTTTTGCTTTGCATACAATGATAAGCGCACAAAAATCACCAACTTGTTTTGCTCTCTCGTGTGAATCACACAGCCTCTCCCACCTTCTCATTGTCTATGTCTTGTTGTGGCTCTCTTCTGCCTGGCGCTGCTTGGTGCTAACCGTTCCTGCCAACTTATTCATCTGAACAATGTCAAACTCCATTTGCTTGATGTTGCGCGTCAAATCTGTCATCATGGACTGAACACAACGTTGCTTCTGCAACAACAACGTGCAGCGAGCCTCCAACTCACTGCGCTCCTGCAATAATAAGGTATTTAGGTTAAATGATTTAAGAATTACTCAATGATATACATATATTTTATTACCAAATGTAGTTCTTCCAACTTAAGATCCCCACTGTTGCCCACAATGTTACCCAGATTAAAATTGTTTTTTATCAAATATTTCCTTGTAAGTAATTACATATTAATTAATGTTATAAGAAGTATATTAAACCTACCAATGAGTGAAATCTGTGCTATGCTTTAGAATTTTGCGTATTAAATTAGACATTATTAATTTTGCTTGCTAGAAAATGGCATTGAATTTATGTGAAACTTATTTATTTCAAGTGAATTATCTGAATTATTACTCAAAATGTATTGTAAAAGAAAAGTAAAACATATTAAACCAAAAGTGCTTTACTAGAACAACACAGAATGCAGTTTTTAAGTCCATGTATTTGTAGTAAAATATTTATTGGCTTGCACTTTACTTCTGGACTTCACTGTAAAAGAACTTTAGACCCAAAAATTTGGTTGCATACTTTTAGGCTGGATGTTAATTTTATATCACAAAAATATCATTTCGAACAAATTAATTGACCACTGCGAAATAACTGATTCACAATTATGAATGAAATGTATGATATATGTATGTGATGCGAAAAATAAATGCTGATCTGTAAGATTTAATATAATTTTATATACTTTATTAGAAAGCTATGAACAATTATCTAACGACAATTCTGTATCACTGTTAACGGTTATTAGTTTGCCCAGCTAATTGACAGACTAGGTGAGTAAAGCGTGAGGAAAAGCAAATGATTTGCCAAGAAAGTGAATTTTGAAGACAATAGTATTGTGAAACAATTGATACAACTGGCTAAACAGAAGGTATTGAAAAATGCACAAATAGGCTAATTAAAAGTCAATATTCAATAAATGCGGCTTTCGTGTGTGCCTAAATACAGAATAATCAGTTGCAAAAATAAATAATAATGTCAATAATAAACAAGATAAATAACCTATAAAAAACGTTGATAAGCACCGACCATCAATTCCAGTCAGTGCATTGACAATTGAGCACCCATCCAAGATGAAACACCAAGTTGCACCACTGCGCTTGCGCTTGCCGCTGCTTTTGATAATATTTGGGACAATTGTGGGCAAGGTGGGTGCCTCTCTCTTAGGAAATGTGCTTAGGGAAATTAGTCCTACTCGCAGCGTGGAGACCGTAAAGGAATGGCAACAATTGGAGTATGGGTTTGCCTCTGAACAGGATCGACAGAAGGCGGAAGCAGATGGTAATCTGATGGAAGGATTTGGTACACCCATTGATGTGCAGCCACACTACTCGGCCAATGGACAGGCGCGTGTGTTTACCACTATTCCACGTTTCGTCAGTGGCATACCCTACACACTGGCAACGGTATCGGAGCAGTTGGGCAGCAATGGACCCTTGCTACAGCCGTATCCCAACTTTGCGTGGCACAACAACAATGGCGACAATTGTGATCAGATCACCTCCGCTTTCCGTGTGGCTGTAAGTATTGGATTGGGAGTAGTTCCTAGGTTTTGTGGAGATACAGCAGTAAGTTCTTTTGCAGATTACGGAGTGCAATCAGATGTGGGTCATTGATTCAGGCAATGTAGGTGGCGTGCAGCATTGTCCGCCACAGCTGCTGCAATTCGATCTGAATAATGATCGTTTACTGCATCGCTTCCGCCTCCCCAATGATACTTATGTATCAGGTGCCTCGCTTTTCATAGCGCCCAATGTGCTGGTGCGGGATCCACGGAACAAATGTGCACGCACCATGATTTATGTACCGGATGTCACCTATCACGGTCTCGTAGTTTACGATCATCAGGCGAATGCTGCTTGGCGCATCGAGAATCGTTTCATGTACCCAGATCCCGATCATGGAGAGCATACGATTGCCGGCGAGAGTTTCATTCTGATGGACGGCATCTTTACTGTGAATAATGACAAACGTAATCTCTACTTCCATCCATTGGCCAGTGTCAGTGAGTATTCAGTGCCACTGAACGTGATAAACAGGCGGGAGAACTGGGCGGATTTTGTAGATGCTATGCCGGACCAGTTCCAGTTGCTGGGCAGCCGCGAAAGTCAATGTGCTGCCTCTGCTATGGACAGCCGCAACAATCTCTACTGTGTCACTTTCAATCCCATAAAGTTGTTCGCATGGAATACGAATACACCGTACACCGCACGTAACTTTGTTAGTCTGCCCGCCAATTCCGATGAGCTGCAGTTTGTCGGTGGCATGAAGGTTGTGCGAAACAGTCGCGGTCAAGAGGAACTCTGGATGCTCTCTAATCGTTTTCAGGTAAGTTAATCTACTGTTTTCTCTTTTCTTGACATTTTGTAACAGTCTCCTTTTGCAGAAAATTGCTAGCGGCACTTTAAATTCCAATGAGGTGAATTTCCGCATTTTGCGCCGCCCACTCGACGATATTCAGAGACAAAATATCGTAGCCTAGCTTTAGGCTTGAATGAATTACCCTCTTGGGAGTATCTGATTTATAATGACCTTGACGTGAATGGAATAAAACAGGCATATGTATGTGTCGAAAAAAAAATACTTAATACAATCTCAAAAGAAGGGTGTGTACTTCCTTCTTTTTAACTTTTAATAAACAATTAATTTTATTTGAGCGCTATATTATCAAGAGTTCCACTTTGATTTTTCACATCAGAAGTGATGTCAACGTTTATTTTAAGTTGATTGAATGAAGGGGTTTTTATTTATTATAAATTACTGATTATATTTATAAATATTATAAATTACTGATATTCGCAATGCGTACAAAACTCGGTTTTCAAATACAAGTTTAGCGTATTACAATACGATCATAATTTTGAAGCAAGATTTATCAATCGATCTCAGCCAATTGACACCCTAGAATACAAATTAAATTCAAGTTTTACGCTAAAATGCGAACAGTGAAAACAATTCTTTATTAAAGCCTTGTGTGTGTAGAATCACTTAAAGAACAATACAAAAACATATTATATAATTAAAGAAATGCATTTAAGTAATTGTGACGCAATAGTTATCGTTAATGTGAAAGTTGTTCATTTCATTGAGTTATTGAGTTGATCAAGTTATTCACTTGTGCAAATTCTCGAGGAAATTCTTGTGGCGCTGAATGGCCTCCTCGTGCTCCTTGATCTGCTGATGATGGAATTCGGCCTGATGGATCTGATCGTTCTTCAAGCGCTCCAGCTGATCCTTTTGCTACAAAGTAAACAAAAACACGTCAATAAAGAATCTAATTATTAAGATATGGTTTAATGACCTTTTGTGCAATAACAAAACAATTGAAAAATGGACAAAAGCCCAATTATAACTTGACGAGATTTGTCAACGTTATTATTATTCTAAAGTATTATTTACTGACAATAAGCACTTCCAAATGTTCTTTCTAAAGCTGCTTAGCTATGGCGTAAATACCCAATAATCTGAGTGCCAACGTAAATATTAAGTAAAGATATTTTAGCACACGAAAGCAAATAACGCTAGAGAGCTCGTGACAACTCATGCAAATTAGCCACCAAATTATTTTAAGTGGCGAAATGTAAGAGAACATAAAAGCTGAATAAGAGAAAAGACTGGTTGAACAAACGACAACATTATGTTTCTGTCTCCGTTTTTGTTGTCGCTTCTGCCAGACATCTCAACCTGCGCCTGAACCTGATTCTGTATCAGTTTTATTGGTTATCGGCTTGAGTTGCTTTGAAGCCAGTTTTAGTTGTGAATTGGCAGCCTAAGTGACAGAAACGTGGGGAAAGCCAAAGAATCTTCCAAGAAAGTAGATTTTGAACTCAAGGTTACTCTTCTATTGATACAATTGAAATTAAAAAGAAAACGCGCAAATAAAGCTAAATTCAATATTTAACTAATGCCGCCTTGAGCGTATGCCTAATACAGACATCAGTTTCTAAAGAAAAACAAAATACAAATAAACAAAATTAATATTTTATAAGAACCGTTGATAAGCGCAGAATTCAATTCCGGTCGGAACGTCGACAATTCAAGATGAGAAAGCAAAGAGAAAGTAAACTGCGAGTGCGGTTGTCGCTGCTTCTGATGGTATTTGGGACGATTCTGGGTAAGGTGGCTGGCTACGGAAGCCCCCAAAACCCTGGCTATGGTAATGGACATGGTCAAAGGCTCAGTGTTGAGCCAGTAACCGAATGGCGACAATTGGAGTATGGTTTTGCATCTGACCAGGATCGACACAAGGCGCAAGCAGATGGTAATCTGAGGGAAGGATATGGTACACCCATTGATGTGCAGCCACAATACTTGGCCAATGGACAGGCGCGTGTGTTTACCACTATTCCACGTTTCGTCAGTGGCATACCCTACACACTGGCAATGGTATCGGAGCAGTTGGGCAGCAATGGACCCTTGCTACAGCCCTATCCCAACTTCGCGTGGCACAACAACAATGGCGACAATTGTGATCGGATCACCTCCGCCTTTCGTGTGGCTGTAAGTATTGGATTGGGAGTAGTTCATAGGTTTTGTGGAGATACAGCAGTAAGTTCTTTTGCAGATTACGGAGTGCAATCAGATGTGGGTCATTGATTCAGGCAATGTAGGTGGCGTGCAGCATTGTCCGCCACAGCTGCTGCAATTCGATCTGAATAATGATCGTTTACTGCATCGCTTCCGCTTCCCCAATGATACTTATGTATCAGGTGCCTCACTTTTCATTGCGCCCAATGTGCTGGTGCTGGATCCACCTCCACGGGGCAACTGTGCACGCACCATGATTTATGTACCGGATGTCACCTATCACGGTCTCGTAGTTTACGATCATCAGGCGAAAGCTGCTTGGCGTATCGAGAATCGTTTCATGTACCCAGATCCCGATTATGGACAACATACGATTGCCGGCGAGAGTTTCATTCTGATGGACGGCATCTTTACTGTGAATAATAACAAACGTAATCTCTACTTCCATCCATTGGCCAGTGTCAGTGAGTATTCGGTGCCACTGAACGTGATAAACAGGCGGGAGAACTGGGCGGATGATGCGGATGCCATGCCGGAACAGTTCAAGCTGCTGGGCAGGCGCAAGAGTGAATGTGGTGCCTCTGCTATGGACAGCCGCAACAATCTCTACTGTGTCACTTTCAATCCCATAAAGTTGTTCGCATGGAATACGAATACACCCTACACGTCACGTAACTTTGGCAACCTGCCCGCCAAGTCCACTGACCTACAGTTTGTCAGTGGCATGAAAGTTGTGCGAAATAGCCGCGGGCAGGAGGAACTCTGGATGCTGTCTAATCGTTTTCAGGTAAGTTAAACTTCTTTTCTCTTTTGACTTTGCATTTTTTGACTGTCTCCTGTTGCAGAAAATTGCTAGCGGCACTTTAAATTCCAAGGAGGTGAATTTCCGCATTTTACGTCGCCCACTCAGCGATATTCACAGTGGGGTATATTTTGCAAGCGATGATGATTTATCTAATCGTTTGGTCTTTACTTAATCCTATACATAAAAGATTTTATTATTAAATAAGAGTATCAATTGGTTACCCAAATAAAAATAACATTTATATAACACTTTTCAGCTAAACAGGGTATTTTCATTGTTGAGCTGTATTATATGTGTGATGTGAAATCATTTTTATGGCTATAAATAATTGTGTCGCAAGAGTTCAAAGTCGCCTTATCAATGATGCTACGCACTAAAGATGATCTCTCTGACACGTGGAGCAAGTGGAATTTGATGTAAGGCAACTGGTAAATGGACTGAAAACACGATCCGATTGAATACCAGCAATGAATGAACTAATTTGGTAGTAGGAAAGCGAATACTGAATACTCTACAGAAACCGAAAGAACCAGTTTTAAAATGAAACGAAAATCGTATTGTGATTTGTTATTTCTAGCGACACCTTCAAGGCAAACAAAGTATTGAGATCATTAGCACGTAGACCCTATTCTTACAAATATGTGAAAAGAGAAATTTTATGTCGACTCATAGCTCTTAAGTAAACACTAATCTAAACAAATCTGACAGAGGTAAATTCCCCGAGACGCTTTGTTAATCTCTCTGTTAGAGTACACATGATTTAATGCTGTAACGTGCTCAATGGGAGATCAATGGACTTATATTAGTGGCGTATGCGGCACCGAGTGGAAGTGACTGGAAGTGGTTGGAAGTTATGCATAATTATACCCCCAAAATGTTTAGCTTATATTTTTCGGTTTTTTGACTTTTTTTTTGTTAGTGACACAAACAAGATCGTTACAATGAGAATTTCAATGCAAGCTTTTAATGTGCAATTAAACCAGTTTGCCACAAAACTGACCCAATTGATCAAGTCTGGTCTGGTTAGCTGTCGCTGCTGTGAAGCTGGAGCTGCTGCTACGCCTAATGGCTAGATTAGAAAGACATGGAGCGCTTGCCTGCAGCCCGTACTCAGTTACCGTTTAGGTCTTACGTGGAGCAGATCACAAATTGCTCTCGGAAGCAGCATGGATATCAGTCAGCATTGCATCAGGATACTAATAGGATTTCTTTGTGGCTGGCTAGGCATTGCAGCTGGACAATATGGCACAGGACCTGACGGTTCATACCATCCCAACGCCTTGGAGAAGGTCTTTGAGGCGCGCAATTTGGTACTGAGTTTCCCAACGCTCCAGGAACAGGAGCGTGTCCTCCACGAAGGTCTCTATAATCCAGATAATGTTATTCCCATCGATGTGGATGTTTACTATACACGTAAGTAAATCATTAAAAATGAAACACCTAATTAAAACGCTCAACCTGAAAACGAGAGCTCTCTTATAGTGGACGCTTGCAATTAAATAACCTGGTGATTATAAAAGTGGCTCTAAAGCTCGAGCTTTTAATATGCGAATTTGAATCTGTTGGCAAAAATGCTTCACAAAATAAGATTGTAAGCATTTTAGAGTGAGAAAGACCTTGAAAAATGTGAAACTGAACTTCTGGCAGCTTTTATTTCTGAGTGTAAACTGGACTGGAGTTTGTAAGATTAATCTCAATAGAATATAAACGACTTCTCTCTCTCTCTCTCTCGGTACAGATGGTGACAAAACGCCGTCGATCTTTATGACCATTCCACGATTCGGCAAGGGCGTGCCCTACTCTTTGGCATATGTGACCAATGAGGTGCAAGAGAATGGGACAGTTTTGCGACCCTATCCTAGCTACGATTGGCATCAATCCCATGGTGCCGACTGCAATGGCCTGACATCCGTGTATCGCACACAGATCGACGAATGTGGACGCATGTGGATATTGGACAGTGGCGAGATTGACTTTGTGCAGCACTGTGCCCCACAGCTGTACGCCATAGATTTGGCAAGTGGTGGTGTAGTGCATCATTATCGCATGCCGCGCGACATGTACAAAGAGGGCGTTAGCCGCTTCGTTACGCCCACCATTGACCTGGATGCAGAGAACTGTGATGTGAAGCACGTCTACATGGCGGACTCGATTGGCGATGGCATTGTGGTTTATGATGTGACTGCGCAGCAATCGTGGCGTATCGAGAACAAGTACACCTATCCGCATCCAGATTTTGGCACCTTCACAGTAGCCGGCGAGAGTTTTCAACTTTGGGACGGAACTGTGGCACTCACATTGACGCCACACACTCTAGCTGGTAGGATGGAGCGCATGCTGTACTTTCACTCGCTATCCAGCAACTGGCAGATGGCCATTCCACTGCAGGTGGTCAACAATGCGAGCATATGGAAGCGTAACGATGTCAGTGCTGGTCTGGATCAATTCTTATTGCTAGGCAAGCGGGGCAGCCAGTGTGTGGGGACGGCGATGAGCGAGACGGGCATGTTGCTGTGCGGACTGGTGCAGCCAGCCGGCATACTTGCCTGGAACATTCGTCAGCCGTACAAGCACGACAATCTAGCGCTGCTCATCGCCGATGAACACAGGCTGCAATTCACAAGCGGTCTGAAGATTATCCGAAACCACGAGGGCAAAGAGGAGCTGTGGGCATTGTCGAATCGCTTGCAAAAAGCTTTTGGAGCAGGTCTCAATTTCAAGGAAGTCAATTATCGCATACAAAAGTGTGGGCTGCATGAGCTGCTCCATGGCTTGCATTGCTTCTAAAGCCAATTTCAGCATGCCATTGAAAAAAAACAGTGTTGCCACCAATTCTTATCGATTGTTCTGGATTATCAAGCACATTTAAAATTGCGGTAAAAATTTAAACTGTATTATCGATGCTTCTGAAGCTACGCTATTTAAATAAATTTTGTATATATTTATTTCTTGGTGTTGAGCTGCATTTGCCACTTACCTTCTTGTAGAAGTATTCCTCCTCGCGAGCAGCCTCCATTTTGCCAAAGGCGCCGCCAGCCTCACGAATGGAGCCACCGCCACCGCCGCCCCTGCCGGCACCACTGCCCAAGTCGCCCAACTGGCCGCTCATTTTTGCCAATCTGTGTGCAGAGAAAAAGAAGTCGCATAAGAAAAAGCATCAACATGTTTGCGCTTGTTATGTAATAATGAAGCCGTAACCAACACACACTCACTTTCACACACACACATACAATTAAAGCTGTATTTAGTGCCGGGTCAAGTGAAAATAGATTTTCGGGGCTCGAATTGTTCGTTTATCTTATCAGCAATAACTAATTTACGCAGGTTACGTATGAAAGATTGATTGCCAAAGAACACATTTTGTATTGTGTTTGCGGTCAATTTGTAGAGGTGCTAATAGGCATTCAATTAATAGTTGAAAACTTACTGCACTCCAGCGGGGTACAAACGGGCTGTGCTACGGCGTACAACGAACATTCTGCTCAGTAAACAATGAAAAATTAGTATAGGTGAATAATCTGGAAATAGACAAAAAAGAAACGAATATTAAAACACACGATGACCTGCGAGATTTAAAACACTTGCATATTTCATATAAGAATCAACAAAGAAAATATCTATATATATATATATGTGCGCATTTGTTTGTTTTCACTCAATGAAAAACATTAAGACATATGTATGTATATATATAGAAATTAATTGTGGCGCAAATAACTTACTGGATGCTTCTGCTGACGAAACTTGTATGCCGCAAGTGTGCCCGAAGTGGCGAGCCGGTTAATTTTAGGGTTGCCAATGCATTCAACAAGCTACTTATCTTTGCTTATCGTGCAATTGCACGATTTTCTTCACAATTATCGAATCTCAAAGAATTAGGCTGTTTATTTAGTATGTTAAAATCAACATGTTAACTTTATTAAGTTGACTGTAAAATTTAAATTACTTGGCTTCCTTGCAACGCAGATTTGGTTTTACATGAATTATCGGTGAGCAGCATACCAGCACCAATTCGATATTTTAACCATAATATGCTGCCACGGTCACACTTAACTAGTTCGCAACAAAAAATTTGCCGACGGACGCTTGTTTATTTTTATTTTTAAATATCAAAATTTACTTGTAATAAGTATATTAATTGTGTCAACGGGTCCCAATTGCAAGCCAAAATGGCCGATGCTGATGATGGAGCCGAGTTGCTGTTCTTTGACACTTTCTCACACGAAGAAGTCACCGTAAGTAGAAATTTGCATTTTTCAAGTAATCAACATGTGTGTGCGGCAGAAAAATCACTCAAATCCTTTTAATTACCATCAAAGGACATCAACTTGGACTTAGTGCAGTTTCCGAAGCCGGTGTTTATCACACAGGTGCGCATAATACCATTGGGCGCTCGCGTCCAAGCGGATTTCCCAGGCGGCGTTCGTCTGGGCGCCACGAATCCCTCAAAATTCGATCTGGAGTTCTTTGTGAATGATTTGGGAATGCCGGGTGCCTCGGCATTTGAGAACTTGGGCCTACTGCGATACAACCAGAACGACTGCATCCACCTTGATTGCTCGCAGGAAAAGATACCAACTGATGGTCTCGTCCTCCGGGGTTGGTATAGCGCCATTACCCTAGCTGTCTACGGCATCCTCACCAACTCGGTAACGGAGCCAATTGCTAGTCCAACGTTGCCCTGCGAGCCAGCAATGACGGGCCCCGAGATGTGCAATCTCAGTGGCGACAATGTGCACAATGTTCTCCTGCCGGACGAAGTGCTCAAGGATGAATGGTCTGAGCCCATGCCAAGTGAGGTACTGCTGGTGACGGCTGCACATAAGGCCAATGTTAGCGACTACGAACACGATGACATCGAGTATGGCTTGTCGCGCGATCATTACCATCAGCATGCGGATGAGGAACAGCGTGATTTGAGGCGTTTGCGACGCTCTACGCACTCCACGGATCATTCGCCGCCACCTCTGCGCACGCACACGCACTCGGAGAGCAACGACAGGGAATATCTGCGCTGCTCACGCGACAAAGCGCAACGGGATTGGTCGCGCTCACCAGAGTATTCGAGCCATCGATCGCGTCGTAAGAGGTCGGAGCGCTCACGTTCGGATGCCGATGAGCACAAGTGGCCGCGTACGCCGCCCGTTTCAATTGATTCGCCTACACGACCTCGTTCACCCGACACCATGGACTATGACGATGATGATACACGCTCGCACTATAAGCTGCAGAGTTCGCACGGCTATCGGCATTCCTCGGAATCATTGCCACGTGAGCGCGAGGAAGAGGAGCGCGAGCGCGAACGAGAACGGGAGCGGGATCGGGAGCGTTCGGATACGCCACAAGAGCAGTTTGAGCCGATTCTGAGCGATGACGAGATCATTGGCGATGATTTGGAAGACGAGGAAGCGGCACTCGATGCGGCTGCTGCGGCCGAGTACGAACGAAATCTGGAGGCAGCTGCAGCCGCTGCACCGCCGGCAATAGACGCCTTCGAGCCATGGCAACGTCCGCTGTTGTTTTACGAAGGTGATTTGTTGTCGCATTTTGGCAAAGAGCTCGACACGCTGCGTCTGCTCTTTAAGAAGCTATCGCTACAAATACGCTGGGACAATGTGAGCGCTTTCAACGAGGAGCACAGCGGCGTCACCGTCGACGAACGCGAACAGTTTGTCTACTTGGGCGAGCAGCTAAACAATCAGCTGGGCTACCTGATGCACCACTACAAGCGACGCAATTTTGTGCTGCAACAGTTTTTCAAGAATGACGAATCGCATCTGCGTCAAGCGGCGAACATATTACAAATAGCGCTCAGCTTTCAGGCGGCTTACATGCAACCGCAGCCAGCATTTAAGATACGACACATTAAACTTGGTGCACGGATGGCCGAGTTGCTGCTGACGAATGAGGAGCTGTTCAAGCATCTGATGCAGCATCACAATTTTGATCCATTCGAAGCGGTCTTTAGCCTTTATCAGGAGCCCTATATGGCGCTATCGATTAAACTGCAGCTGCTCAAGGCTGTCTACTCCATGATCGACACGAAGTTGGGCATTCGTCACTTTTTGGGTGACAAGATCAAGGGTTATCAGCGAATACTCGAGTTCCTCAAGACTGCCAAGCTAACGCGCACCAAATACGCCCTGCAGGCCATCGTCAAGAAACTGCATCTCTACGAGGCGCTGGAGTGTGTGCAGAAAAACTGCACACAGCTCTTCATCCGCAAGGTGGAACGACCTCTGGCTAAGGTCTGCCAACAGATCGAATTCGCCTTTGAGATGCTCATGGATGCTTTGTTGGTCAATCAGCTCAGCTTCCAGCAGCCGCGTCGCTTTCTGCCGGTCTCCAAGAAGTTCGAACTGGTCACCGATCCAAATGCACAGCGTAGCTTTGGCAATGCCCTGCAATCTTATTTTAAGCAGCATAGTCTGGCCGAATCAGTGCTGCTGATTCTGAGCAACTCGAAAGAGTTGCCAGCGACCACATTCTTGTGCACACTGGATCTATTACATGCGCTGCTTAAATCCCATGTGGGCATCGATTACTTTGTAGACGATGCCTTTGAAGCAACGCAAGCTATTGTCTCCATACTGCTAGGACTGGATGAAGTACCGACGACACCCAAGACGTTTATATACAAGGAACAGCAAGGTATGTTATAGATTTAACTATTGATTTTATAATCTTTCTGAGTTTGCAAATCTTCCAGTTCAAACAGAGCAGACAAATGTATCTGTAGAATCGTCGGACAGCTTGCAAAAGGTCGAAACGGAAGTGAAAGTAGAAGCCTCTACTGTGGTAACTCCTGGGAGTGAAAATATTGCAATTGATGTCGGTGTGCAAACGGAGCTGATTACTGGAGTCGCACTGATGACATACCAGAGAGTAATTCCTGTTCCTCGACCAGTTTTTCCGCGCTTGGCCCGACTGGGCATTGAGTTGGCTTACAAGGTGCAGACACGTTATCACCTGGACGCTATTGTCTTTACGGCCGCAGCGTCCGAATACGATGCGATTAAAGTGGCGACGCACATCCATGCGATATATTCGCAGACCTGCGATCCAAATGGACGACAGCACACCGTTGAAGTGCTCGGAATGAATAACAATCTGAAGATATTCATGGACCTCATCAAGAAGGAGCAGCGACTGCAGTCACAGCGACAGCTCAGCTCCCCGGGCACCAAATACAAGAGTCCAGTGCTAAGCTATGCAGTGGATATGGTCGATGCATGTGTGCGTTATTGCGAGCAGCTCGACTATCTTATCGAGCACGGCTCTGTCATTCTGGAACTGGCCAAAAATCATGAAACCTTCGAGCCATCTGTCTCAGCTGTGCTGCAGGAAATGTATGTGTACATGAAGCCACTGGAGGCGATCAATGTGTTTATCTACGATGACATATTGCCGCTGGTTGAGGTCATTGGGCGTTCCCTGGACTATCTGACCACCTTTCCCGGTGATTTGATAATGGCATTACGCATATTGCGATACCTGGTTATCACCAATTCGGCACCGCCTCCGGGCGTTAAATCGTCCAGCAAGCGTATGGGTACCGAGGAGCTCAAGCATCGCTTTGTCGCCCTTCAGCTGTATGCAGCGGATGGGGTGCAGCTAATGATCCAAATACTGGAACGCTTGTGCACGTATTTTGAACAGCCGGGAATGCATGCGCCCGCTTTGATGACCATTCAGGGTGTGCACTGCTGCCAGATTATGTTGCTCACGCTGCAAATACTTCGCGAGCTGCTCACCTATGCCATTCGGTGTCGCGATGGCACCTTCAAAGATCTAACCGCCATCGACCATCTTGTCAAGGTATATTATCTGCTCTACTATTACCCCTCACGCTGTCAGGCTGGCGCCGAGGTGGAACAGTGCAAACTGGAGGTGGTGCAAGCGCTGTTGGCCTATACGCAGCCGGACGAGCAGGATGAGGAGTCGCTGCACAAGTCGCTTTGGACGCAAATGATACGTGAGGTTCTGAAGAACATCGATGGACCAGCCAATTTTATACCGGGTCTCAAATTGTTGGCGGAACTGTTGCCACTGCCGCTGCCGATGCCACAACCGTTGAGTGAACAGCTGAAGCTGCAGCACAAGCAGCGTTTGATTACCGAACGCAAGCTTTGGTCCGCACATCTGCATCCACAGAGCGGACAGATTGCCAAGCTGGTGGAAGCCTTGGCGCCATCAAGTTTCCCACAGCTCTCCGAACTACTGCAGCGCGTGTGCATGCAGCTATCGGATTTGGCTCCAAACATGACGCTGCTTATAGCCAAGACTATTATGGAGTTGCTCTGCACCGAGTATCAAACTGCAAACTGTATGCCCACCACTAATCTGGAGCGTCTACTCCGTTTCTCCACGCGTCTCTGTGCTTTTGCGCCACTCAAGAGCTCCATGCTGTCCATATTGTCGGGCAAGTTTTGGGAACTGTTCCAATCGCTGTTGGCATTGAACGAGTTCAATGAGGTCGTCTCCAATTGCCAGGAGGCCGTGCACCGCATTTTGGACAGTTTTCTCGACTCGGGCCTTTCATTAATTTCACATAAATCAATTGCACAGCCAAGCCTCAATTTGTCAGCTGCACTGCCGCCCAAGGAGCTATTGCCACGCGTCATCGATGCCGTCTTCAGTAATCTGGCCAGTGTTGAGGTGACACACGGTATCTCTATATTGGCCGTTCGCAATCTGGTCATTCTCACCGAGCATGAGTAAGCACTAAATTCATAATTTCATTCTATGAATTCAAATTGTTATCTTCCTTTCGTACAGCTACACATTTTATCACCTGGCACAGTTGCTGAAGCAGAAGATTAGCGAATTCCAGGCTTGGATGGAGCGTGTTATACTCCACAATGAGACAGTCGAGTTCCATGCCAACATTGAATCGTTAATTTTACTGTTGCGCTCGTTGACACAAATCGAGCCACCGCCAGCCATGTCCGCAATGCCCCAGCGTACGCTTAAGTTGGGCGCCGTGGAGCTCGCTCAGCTGCTGGAGTTTCAGGATGTTGAGCTAGAGAGGGCGCCGGTGCTCTTACGTATACTCAAAGTGCTTGAGAAGTTCAAGGCATTGGTCAATGAGGCGGCACTGTTGGACTTGAAGCAGCTCATTGCACTGCATGCATCCAGGCTTGATCAGGAGACGCTCCCAGTAGCGGCTACTCAAACCGAAGATGCTGATCCAACTGCAACTGGCAGCACCAATATTGTTGGACCGCTAAGCGTTGAGCCCTATCTGCCGCAAGCGGAGGGCATTGTTACCCAATACGAGGCACGTCCGATCTTTACGCGCTTCTGTGCGACGGCTGAGAATGCACAGCTGACGGCAAGCTACTGGCTTGATCCGCTGCCCATTGAGGTAATCGAGGATATGGATGAGCCGCTGTATGAACGCATTGCCTGTGATTTAACGGATTTGGCCAATGGGTGCCTGAATCCCGATCTGAATCTCACCGGCGATTGCAAACGCGTCCTGCACTTATCGGGCTCACCGCAATCCAATCGCGAAATGACACCCACAGCGCCCTGTTTCCGCACGCGACGCGTCGAGGTGGAGCCCGCAACAGGTCGACCCGAGAAGAAAATGTTTGTGAGTGCAGTGAGGGGACGCGGATTTGCCAGGCCGCCACCCTCCCGTGGCGACTTGTTCCGCTCCCGGCCGCCAAACACTTCCCGACCCCCATCGCTACATGTGGATGATTTCTTGGCGCTGGAGACGTGCGGCGCCCAGCCGACAGGGCCAACGGGTTACAATAAAATACCCTCAATGCTGCGCGGCTCACGAGTGGGTCGCAATCGTGGCTCACGCATCTCAGCAGCAGCTGCTTACAGGTAAGCAGTTATAGAGTATTCAAATTCAAGTTATTTACTAATTAAAGTGTTTTTCGTTTCGCGCAGGCAAAAGAAACTTATGAGGATTGGCTCACCCTCCAGCTGGTCTGAGTCTCCTGGTACGCCGTATCGGTCCAGCAATTCGGACTCGCACTTTAGCAATAGCGATTCACATTATACATCGCCCCATTACAGTGGACGACCTCGTGGGCGTGGTCTGCGATCCCGACCGCCCTATTTGCGTTAGAATCAAACAATAGAATTGCATATATGAAAAAAGTGTTTTGTGTATATTCGATTTATACAATTTTGTATGTAACGTGATTAAATTTTAAGAATTCTCTGTAACAACACAATTCAGGCGCACATCGTGATCCTCCATGGGCAGCTCCTCACTGCTAACGATCTGTTCGTTAAGTGCCAGTGCCATAATAGTGCTCTTCTTATGCGGATACTTGGCCGCATGTTGAGTTAAATATTTATCATAGTAGCCCATACCGTGACCCATGCGATTGCCGTTGCGAGTGAATGCCACGCCGGGCACAATAAACAGATCAATGCCATGTCCTGCAAGGTGGTGTAAGGATACATCATCATTAAGTCATATTACAAATGTGGATTGATTGATTACCATTTGTAAAGGCATCCTCGCGATTCTCCTTAAAGTCCGGCTGCTTAATGTTCCATTTGGTCAGTGGCAAGCCTTCGTAATCCGTCATATCCAGCAAGCGCACCATTTTCATCTTAGTACCCTGATAGCTGGGTACAAACACCGCCTTCTCTAGTCGAAGCATTTCACGGATTAGCTCTGTGGTATCCAGTTCATCTTTGGTGCTCAAATATATGCTAACACGTTGCGCCTGACGAAATGCCTCACTCAGTACCACCTGCAAAGTACAAAGATGCTGTTCAAAAACATTGATTAGAATATATAGTATCTAGAACTGACCTTTGAGGTAACCGCTTGCGATTGCCGGGCGATCGAATCGGGCGTCAGAGAGCTGAGAATCTCAGTCATGCGCTTTCTTAGCGCAACTTTCAGGCTATTTTGGACAGCTGCCATATTGGTGCTATGAACACTTTCCCAATTCGGTGCGTACTGGTTTCTGTTTTCTGCTTTCAGTCGTCTATAGCCGATCTACGAGTGTGGATTATTTGCTTATCAGTAAAGTGGGCGCGTTATCAGCTTTTTTTTCCCCGACTGCTTGAGTTTCTACACAAATTCGTAAACAATCGTCAGTTGCTCTTTGTGTGCGCATACAAAATAACACTAGACAGATGCACGAAGATCTTTAATTTCCTGATCAACAATACAAATGTTTAATACATTTAGTTGTAATTAAATAGGTTGCAACTAGAATCAGTTCTGTTTTTTATATGCAATCAAGCGTTGTTTTGTTATTGTTTATTTTTATTATCAGCGTCTGGCGTTACTTTGGCACTAAAAAAGACAGCAGCTGAGCTACTAGAAATACAAACTTATATTGCCAGCATTAGCAAAGCAATAAGACTCCGTTTAAAGAGCTTGACAAGTTTTTCCATGCATTTGAAATTTTCGTTAAAACAAAATAGAGTTGAGTGCTAAATAATTATTTAATATTTCACCTGTTTCAGCTGTTGATCGCTGAAAGCTACTTATCAAATCAAGATGCAGGCATGTGCTAATTTTTGTCGTGAGCTTTGCTTCACACATTTCTTTTCCATATATTCATTAACATATATAACACATCTTAATTGATTGTCAGTTAATGTGACAAGAAATTAAAAAAGAGAATAATCGAAAAATCTGGCATAACTTGCACAATACAAGTACTATCCGCATGTTCTTTGGATCACAGATATCCCTTGCCCAGACGAGGCTAAAGACAATAGTCCTTGAAACAGATGAAAGAGCGGGACTTTTCTTACAATGGAAAATTCGTCGAAACGGACGTATCCTTACAGATTCTGACGATTTAAGTTTGACCAGGGCTAAAGACTGAACAAGGGACATCCAAATCGTTCTTGTAGCTTCTGAGAAAACAAGGATTATTTGATTACGACTCATTTCCTTAGATGATCACAAAATCCTTGAACAGTTCGATATAAAAAGGAACTGTGATCGTAATGCAGCATATCTTAAAAATAAATCGATAGGAATTTGGCTGATTTAGCGCCTTTTTGTTTGTCGCTTCCGTGCCCCTAAAAGTATGCCTCATTTTGGTTTACTTAACGGCGATTTACTCAATGCAGCAACCCAATGGGCGTCACTGGTTCATGTACATGATATTCAAGCAGCAACCATATAAACAATTATATGTACATATAACTTGCTTGATTGTTTATTTTAATTTATAGTGAGCTACTTGCGAATTTAGAGACATACAAAGAGTAATTCTTCAGAGTTTGTCAACTAGCAAGAGTTCTTCTAAAGTGACTTGGTTTAAGAGAAGTCTTTCCGCTATAAAATTATCAGCTTTCTCAATCTGCTTGGGTGTCAAGTCGTCCTTGTAACCATTTACTTTGCCCTTTCGCACAAAACTGGAAAAATATTAAGTCTGCGATGTTAATCATTCTATTTTAACATTACTTTTTGTACCCACTTGTGAACTTCTTTCCCGCCGTTTTCGAGTTTAATCTGAGTGCTCTCCCAAAGATGATTTGTGGTCGGATTTTCTACAAAAGGAAATAGAATTATCTCATTATATCAGTGAATGTTATCTCAACCTACTCTTCATTTCTTCAAATGACAGATGCTTAAGCAAACGTTCCATTTGTTGTTCCGTTACAGTCTTGTCAAGAAATTTGCACAAGTCTTCAACGACAGCGCGGAGATTGCATTTCATGCGCTCAAAGCTGGTATAATAAAACCAAGGCTCATTCCGTAGCTGATAAAATTCAGCTGCATGTTCGATAATATATCTGCGATCACTCTCTTGCTCCAGACACTCATCGAAGAATTGCTCCAACGTTTTACCATAGTTATAGCCAATTGTAACGCCATGATAATATCCCGACACCCAAGCATCTTTTGGATTGCGGAAAACATAAATCACTTTAGCTTTCTTCTCCCACAACTGACGAGGTAATAGCGGCAGGGGCAGGTGCGATTTTATTAGACGCGGCGATGGCAGTTCTTCTACACGTTCCAAAGCAGTTTGTTCATCCGAATTTACCATAAAATCAAATCTAATGACAAGTGTTATGCGTAAATAGATTGGCTACTTGATCTTTTACTTACTCAAGAAAGGGAGAGCGTAGTTCCAAGTCCTTGGAAAGTGCCGCTTCGAAGTCGCAATCGTTCAGCAGCAACCATGCCAGCTCCTGCATCCAAGTAGTACCACATTTTGGATTTGTCACAATCCAAACATCATCTTCCTTCACCTCCATATCATGAATCATTGCAGGAAATGATTTGGCCGGACTCCAAAAATAAAGTTTCCGCTCGGACCAATCTTTGTCAATCAGATTGACCGGATAGCTCTTCGGTGTGACCTGCTCGCACTGCATTTCTGGCGCCTACTAATGGTGTTGCAGCCATACTGCTTATATATATGCAGATAAAGATCCGAGTCAACCATAAAGAGAGGCAAAAACATAATAAAGGTACGCATGTATGAAATCTGGCGATATGGGGAGTATTATGTTTGTATGAAATTGTTAGCAGCAGAATAAGATTGGGAATTTGGCAAGACGACCACCAAGACGACCATAATACAATTAGTTCTTCTATCAGCACATAAAAGATATATTTAATCTTAGTTTCTTTGTTGCTGATACGACTAATCGTTCAACATGTTGAATATGAGCAGATAAAACAAGATTCTAGAGTCATGTCAGCGCAAAATAATAGCAAGAATAGACCATACACTGTGTCTAAGCACATGTGCGCCAATTTATTCAATACAGAAACCCAATTTGTGTCACTGGTGGGTGTACATGCTACTCTGCAAAAGAAATGAATGTAGAATAATAAATAACAATCGCTTATGCTAGGCGAAATTTGCTTTTTATTTACGACATGATATCTAAACAGTCACTACGCGCTTAAGTGTTAATATTGTATTATTATCAGATATCAAAATACAAGTTCGTATCAATGTTTGTCGTCTGACATCTCGTTGTCATCATAATTTCAGTTGTCAAATCCAATATCTATTCTTTTCTCTTGTTAGATCAGCTTTAGTAAACAGCTTGCGTATCTGGAGTAGATACACAAAGAAATTCTTCATATTTTTTTGAAACTACCAAGAGTTCTTCTACTGTGACTTTCTCAATCTGCTTGGGTGTCACTTATGCCAATTGAGAAATTAAGCTTGAAGTTTTAATCTGTAACCCAATTATATATATATATATATATATATATAAATAAGAATCAGATACCTCTTTGTAAACAATATGTTCAGCATTATCGGTTTATACTCAACGAAAGTGTGCCTTGCTATCAGTTTGGTCGCGTTTTGCCCCTAGCTGATAGCATTGCGAATACACACACAAATATGAAATGTATTTAATATAAAATGTATATAAATTTGTGATGCGAATCAGGTTTAAACTCTTATAACTAGAAATGCTATGTGTTGTACATATAAAAAATTATTCTGATTTTAGAAAAACTAGTTGTCCATGATTTATTGTCAGTTTTATACAATGTTTACTGCTATTGCAATTAATTGTTAGATTGTAGCTTCTCCAAATGCCTAACTGCATTTTGTATATATGTATATTCTATAAAACTAGGAATTCATTTATCAAAAAACACATATAAACATTGTATAATCATCTGCCTGGGTATCTAAGTATCACTTAAGCTTACAATCTATTAAAATGATTAATCGACGCGGTAACAGCCATTTGTTCACCATTGTTTATACTTCGTTGTATTTGCTGTAAGTTGCGAAGTCATCCATATGCAACTTGTACTCTCTCAGATTGATGTCCGACCACAGATCGAATTCACGGATCACGTCCGCCGTCATTTCGTCCTTGTGGCTGCCAACAACACCGCGTCGCACAAACCTGTGTGGATCGACACTTTTTAGCCATAAAACATTGAACATTTTAAAGTTCCTATCAAAATCTCAATTGCTCACCTGAACTCCTCCACCTCGCGTCCCGCAGCAGCCTTCATGCTTTCAAACTCCTTGGCATGATTACAGGCCGGATTGTCGCGCATGCTCTCAAAGGACAAATGCGTTTTCATTTGCTCCACTTGCTGCTCGGTGACGGGGCGCTTCAAAAAGTGTGCCACATCGTTTATAACCTGGCCAAGCTGCGTCTTCATACGCTCGTAGCTAGTGAAAAAGATATGCGGCTCGTGGCGCAACTGCCAAAAGTCGAGGACATGTGGCCAGCAGGGCGTAAAGTTCACATAGCCATCGATGAATGAGTGCATGAAATCCGCTTTTGTGCCCTGATATCCAACCATTCCACGCCAATGATGGAAATATGAAATGGCTGCGTCCTTGGGATTGCGATAAACATAAATGATCTTTGGCTTCTTTGTCCATATCTGGCGGGGCAGCAGATAAGCAGGCAAATGTGATTTGATTAGACGGGGTGAGGTCATCGCCTTAGCTGCGTCGATGGTGTCATGTGGCACATTCGGAACGACGCCATTGAATCTGGATTTGAGAACAAGCAACAAAATGTAAAGATTCTGGGTACAAGTACGTGATGGGAATGCGCTTTATAGTTCATTATTTATAATTATAATTGCCTTAAATAATGGCTTACTCCAAAAATGGTGAACGTATTGTCAAATCGACGCTTTTGGCCGTTTCAAAGTCGCATTTGTTGAGCACCAGCCAAGTCAGCTCTTGCATCCAGGTGGTGCCGCACTTTGGCAGAGTGACAATCCACACATCGTCCTCGCGCACCTCGAAATCATAGACTCGATCGAGTACAGGCTGGAATGTGTCAGCCAGGCGACAGAATCTCTGCTCCCAGTTGCCGACCACCGGTACGCCGGGCTTGCTGGTTGCATAAATGGATGAGTAGCCACCACTGATGGCCAGTTTATCGATTTGCTCGAAGGGAACGCTTCTCGCAAAGAAACTCGACTCGGGCATAATTATGACTTTTGTATAACGACTTTGAAACGACGCAACTAACTTCTTATAATTTCAAACTGAATTGCGCTCAACCGAACAGCTCTGCAGCTAAAACCATATTAAACACTGCTGCAGTCAGCGAGAAACCGGAGGCAGAATTTCGCGCAAAGCGCTCAGCAACAGAGATGCGAACGTGATGCGAAGTGATCAATGTGAAGAATACTTGTCAATACTTGCTTATCAAACAGAAGCGAATAAAAAGGAAATGAACTTACATATATATTTTAAGAAATATTAATGTGGCAGCTGTGGTTGATTGTGTGTGATTAAAGGCTTCAAAAATGTTGATTTCCAAAAAAAAAAACTAACAAAAATGAAGACATTTTTCATTGGGTAAATATTTGAATTGTTTGGCTGTTGATAATTTGCAATTCACATTTATGTGATAATCTCACGTTCAACTAATTTGGAATCGACAAAGTCACTTTCAGTTTCACTTGCGGAAATCTCATCTCTAATGGCCCTATACATGGTATGTTTGTACATAACCGTATAGGTGTGTACATATACGCATATGATTGTATTATATAATGAAAACAACGCCACCAAACTTGTGAACAGACTTGTTTTTTGTTTTTTGTCAGCTTCGTTTTTGATTTTCGAAATGCATTCAAATCGATCGTGTGCTTTAAGACTTTCTTTACGAAGCTTTTGCTTTTGTTACAGCGACGCTCTTTGTTTCGCCAGACGCAAAAGAAAGTTTTGGTGCTAACGAATTGTTGTTTAGCCTGTGTACTTCTTCGGTGTTGATATATAGTGTACGCATATTTATATATACTGTCTTTTTTTACCCAAAAAGAATCGAAGCCAATCAGCTAAACAGGTTGCTTAAATGCCGATCGCCGGCGGCACAGATTGACGCACATTCAAATTAATGAAAGGGGAATATCATTAATATATTGTCTATTTTCTGTATAAACAATGCACAATAACTTATGAGTGAAATATCAGATATTATTCGTATTAAGTAAATATTATTCTTATTCCACTCACCTTGGCCCATTGATCCTAATCAAAATATGAATGAATGCTGAATGTTTGTATTTTTGATTTATGTATTTGCGTATTTTATTCGCGTTTTGTGTTTGTTTTGTTTTTTATTTGTTGTATTTTACAATAAATTTGACTAAATCTTAACATTTATAATCCTTAACCTGCAAGGAGCAAAACAGACGCGGTAACAAATATACGTCAGTAGTTGTAGTTGTATAAAGATTTCTCATGTTGTTTAGAAACAAACAATATCTAAGAATTTAGAAATAGAAATTGCCATGCATTTGTTTAAAGAGCATGTATTTCAAAATAATTGTTTCTTTTTCGCATTGATTTTGTAAATACTTATTAAGATATAAGCATGTCCTTAACAAACATACATACATACATACATAACATACATATGTCAACACGTACTTAAAACACATACACACACATTAACAACAATAAATATATATATGTATATATATATATATATATGTATATATGTACTCGTATATTTATATTTGTGTCCAGTTAAAAGGTATGCGTATGTGTGAATATGATGTATGTATGCATACATTATACACTCGTATATGTATATATATATATATATATATATGACTTTGTGTACAAATTTGGCCTGGAAGGTGGGTCTGCGCACTCACGAGCTATCGATTCGAGCTGGAATCTTGGAGTACTTTTCACAAATTGGAGATCGGCTAGATCCGGTTTTAGCTTGGTTGTTTCTCGTTTGTTTTTTTTTTTTTGGGATGTGTGTAAACTGTATCAAAAATGTAGGCATAGCATAAATGTCAATAACAGATACAAATAACAGTGTGACTGAATGACCATGTTGTGTCCAATACACACACACACACACACACGCACACAAACACGCATTCAAACAAACATGCATACATACATATATATAATAATATATAAATATATCCTTTGAATATGCTTATGCTTCGTAAAAGTTGTATAAATTTTATATATATATATATCGTTTATGTTGTATATATATAGTTATTATTTTGCATTTGCTCTGATTTGTAGGTATGTATATAATATATCTGTATTACTTTTTTTTTGTTTTGTTTGCCTTTTAACAAGAACGTATTATCGATTCGTATTAATTTACTTGTTATATATAATATGTAATTTGTTCAGTCAATTAGATAAAAAAGATTTCAAAAAGGATTCACTTAATTATACATTTTTGCCTTCCGTTTGATTTTGTCAAACGTCAACAGTAATCATAGTGTTTGTTTTAGGTATTAGATAAAAGGTAGTAGTAGAAAGGGTCCCCCATAGAATTTCGCATGTTACATTTATGGATTCGAATTGTTGTTGCTTTTGCTAATCAAACTGGTAGTTGTACATTAGTTCAAATACATGTATCTAGACATATATGTAATTCTAGCATTAGTTCGTTTGCGCTGCCCAAACAACTGAATGTCCCTGGTAATCCATGCAGTGAAACACACACACACACACACACACACACACACACACACACACACACACACACACTCACACTCACACACATACTCACACACACACTCATCGCGTTTACTTGTCATCTAGCTATGTGTTTGCAATTTATCTATGTTTATACATAAATAAAACAGTTTTGTCCTGTTTGATTGATTGATTTATGTAAAAATTCACCTTGTTTTTTGTTTCTTTTTTGTTTGTTGTCGTTAATTCCACCCCCTAGTTAGTGTTTAAAGATCTGTTAATAAATAGTGATCCCATCGAATTTTCAATTTTTGTCTGATCGACCGATAGTTGAGGCTTATAGGAAAACATGTGCCTGGCTAAAGCCATTTAGTAGGTTAGATTCTTAGTATAAAAGTAGTTTGATAGTTGTATTTTTCCTTCTTTTTTTTTATAGAGATTGTCTTTGTGTGCGAGGGGTGGGGGGGTGGCGATGGTATAGTGGATAACACATACGTCTTATGTATTAGTATGTGTGCAATGGCAACGACGCCATTTTGTTGCCTATGCTGTGATACCGTTTTAGGTACTCGATGGAGCGCACGCCATATTGTTGGAGGCAACAATATGCGACAATTTTAGCTAGTTGTTGTTGTTGTTTTTATATGTAGACTTGTATTTATTATCTTATGACATGCAGAAGTGCACATTCACACTCACTCACTCACTCACACTCACACTCACACACACACACACACAAACACACACACACACTGACATTTAATAGCGCACATACTGTTTAACATATACATAGAAATTTAGCTTTCTTGTTTTTGTGATGTTACTTAAATATTAAATTTTGAGTCCAGCCCAATATTTTTTTTTGTTTTTCTTTGTTTTGTTTTCATTTGCTCTTCAAACATTTGCGACAGTTTTGTTGTTTGTTTGTTTGTTTGTTGTTTCTTGTGTGGATTGTTGGGTGTATTGCTGCAGGTACCCTTTTGGGCACCCAATGATTTTAGCCACAAACACACGCCAAACATACAGACTGCATTTGGTTGGAAGCGTTATTTAGTCGAGATATGTATGCAACAATGACAACAACAACAACAACAACAGCAATAACAACAAGAACAACATCAACATCAACATCAACAAGAAGGATGAGTGACCTATGCCGAGAGACTGCGACGAAAGCCACGTCTCTGGGGCCGGGTGTGCCTGCACTAGAGCATATCCTCCATTTCGTTCTCGCCAATTGTGGATGTGGCAGGCGCCTGTGCCGGCAACGGCTTCAGTAGACCCGAGAATATCCTCCGGAAAGCCGTATGCTATTTGGAATTGGACGGCTTATTGTTGCCCACAGGCGGCTGCTTGGCCATAATATCGGCAAGCGTATTAACGCCCTGCTCATCATATTTCTTCCACTGTGAGTAGTTGATCTTCATGCACGTTATAAGCTGAGGCATATCAATAAAACCTATGCAAAATCCGACAAAATATTGCTTATAGTTGTTTACCAGTGATTTAGAATATGGGCGAACTTACTGTCCCAGGCCTCCATCATGTCCTGTATAATATATTCGATGAAACCAATCTGGCTCTTTGGTATGCTGCAGGTGGCACGATCGAACATGGGCATCACGATGGGCAAATGCCGTTGCTTCTCTTCGTCCGTCTGCATAAAGTACTCCTCGGCAATGCGACGTGCCCACTCGATGCAGTACTGCATCGGACGTGCCGGATTGCTCACATCCGCCACCTTGATCAGCATGCGGCGCATGAGTATCGAGGTCTCCTCCTCCGACTGCACGAGCTGCAAGTAAATCCATTTTGTAATTGCAATTACCAAAATTTGAAATTTGCCATCGAACTCACCTCACGCGGCTCAACCTCACTGCCAAAGACGCTCACAAACTTGGCCAAGTGCTCAAAGTGACGCGTCATTTCCGTAGCCAATATCATATCGATAATTGTGCTGCGCGCCGATTTGTACGTCTCCTTGTCCAGGTTCTTGAATATGTTGATCTTGTCGTCACCTGCAAGGCCATTTCATTTGTCGAGCATATTTAAGTATTGGTAAAAACTGTAATCTTTTACCCAATGTCAGCTTGAAAGTGATTGCCGCATGATGGGACTCCAGCACCGTTAGATCATTGTACAAGACAGCAAGCGGATTGTTCGAGTTACACAGGAATTGGGATGAGCGGCCGGGATGATCGACATCGTGTGCCGCTGCCGCAATCAAGGCCGTTGCCTGATCCATTCGATCCATTACCATATCCTTGTTGATCAGCTGCGTGATGAATGCACCTGTCGCCTAGACAAATTGATGCAAGACATGAATTAGAGTTAGAGCCATCATTGGATCAGTTGGATGCTACGCACCTGCATCACATCCGCCGCGTGTGTGCTATTGTGATATGTGTTGGATTTGTGATAATGCGCCTCGATAACTGCCAGCCAGGCTTTGCACACGTTCTCATCAATGTTCAGTGTGGCAAAGACGTCGAAGCGCCGGAATATTTCCATGCCCAAGTACAGCAGCGGATGGTAGTCGGTGATCTCTTCCAATTTGAAAATATCAAAGTCCCAGCTAAGAGATTCTTCAAGTAGTTCCATAATAATGGGATTGGCCTGTAATGTTAAAAAAAAAACTCATTGATTCATTAAAATGCACTCGAATTTATGTACTCTGGAGAATAAAAAGCGTATGGTGAAAACTTCAAAAATGTTACTTGTCTTTATTACTATTTACCAGATTGTGCGTTACTCATAGAAGGAAGAGGAATCGGTTCAGGTCTTCCTCTGCCATTGTCCGGCCTAGCTAAGCTAGACAAGACTACAATTGATGGAGTCACATATCTCCACAGAAAATATATCGGAACTCTTCGCTATTCCACCAGGGAATACTACTATTAAATGTAGAATAATTATGTTGCCTACCTTCATCTTGGCTGGCACAATGGTGGCCGTCCGAGTGGAGTTGCCCGTGCGGATAATGGAGTCATTTGAGCTGCGGCGCGACGAGTAGACACTGGGACCCTGCAAGAGAATTTTGAAATCGTGATTGGCAAGATTGGTTATGGATTGATATCGCAGTTGTTTACCGTTAGTAGGGCGCCAATGAGATCGGTAGCTGTGGGATCATCGGTGCGTATTTCCTTCATTTGGGGACTGTAGAGTCCCTCGCGCTTGAGGAACTCCAACACTTTGTCTATGAGACGTGCCTCGTCGGCTGAACAATTCTCCTGTACTTGTGATAGTAAATTGATTATCTAAAGTGCGAGTGCGCAGTTTGTGTGTTGGTTGTTGATTGTTGATTGTTTTGTTTATTTGTTTTTTTTATGTTGTTTTTTTTTTGGTTTTTTTTTTTGTTTGATTTTTGTTTTTTTGTTTGATTTTTGTTTTTTTTTGCAAGCGGCGCGCAGAGAGCAAAGCGAACGAGCGAGTGAACGGAACCATTAACATATTTACAATAATGTTTATAACAATTGTTGTTGTGTTTTGATTTTTCGATATATATATATATATTTAGCATGATGAGGTTCGTTGTTCAAGTACACAAAAAACATAAAAGTAAAAGAGAACATAACATATATAAAAGAGATATAAAAAAGAGAATAAATGTAAAAACAAGAGTTTTAGTTGTGCAATTATCGGGCATGTTTGCTGTATGTTAATAAAACGTGGTTGAATCAATATTGGATTAGCGTTAAATTAAATGCCAAAATATGTTTTGCCAAAATGCGAGCTGTTGTTAGATACGGATGAGTAATTGTGACATCCACACCAGCTGGCTCAAATTAAAGTTGTGCGTCTTAGATCCACATCAATTTCACATTCACATATAATTAAATCATTATGGATTATTCTAAACATTATTGGAGTTTACTTTAAATTATATTTGAAGTCTTGCAGTATTTATAAAAGAACTAACCTATTCATTCATTACGAAACTCTTTGTGGCTAACTAAATGAGATGAGTGATTTGATTTCTTTGACTGCAAAAAACTTGTGACCAGCGTTGGCTATTTACCTCTTTGAAATTGTTCAAGCCTTTGAAATGCGTTTATGCAATTTACAATCGCAGTTAATTAATTAAGTATACATGTGAATGGTGCAGCAATTGATTTGAATCTAGTTTCGCACAACTCTAACGCTTTCAATTTGCTATCTGCCGGTGTCGGTGTGTGTGTGCTCTGTGTGTTGGTTGTGCGTGGTTGTTGCGGATGTTGTTTGTTATTTGCTACTGATGCTACATGGCAGGACATTATTATTAAGACTGACACACACACACACACACACACACGCACATACATTCTCACACACTTACGTATGCACACACAAACCACACACCACACACCACGGACACGGATGATAATTTAGTATATACTGGCAACATGGGAATAGAAAGCATTCGTATGTTGTCAGATGGAATGGAGTCAACAATTTTCTGATTTTTTTTTTCAATTTTTTTTTTGTTCAGTGAAAAACCAATTGGTCGTACAAAAAGGAGTCATACTTTGGTAATGGGCGCCTCCAGGGGCAGGGACGTCAGCTTGGCCAGGCTGGTGCGACGCAGTCCATCGGAGGCAATTGAGCGCACATCGAAGCTGCAGCGACGCACCGAGTGCAGAGAGCCGCGCGGCGCCTCCTTTGGCTGCGGCAGCGTAGCAATAAAGTCCAACCCGCCACCGGGCACATCAAAGTTGAAAATCAGATGAGTTGGTGCACTGTAAATGGGGGAATAAAAAACCAAGTTAGTAAGTTAAAAAAATATAGCCAACAAAATCGAAATAAAAAAGGATCGAATTCATAGCAAATATTCAAAATGAGCTTTATTATAAATAATTGAATAATATGTTAATAATTGCTATAAATAAATATTAGGAACAAATAGATTTTGCATCTTAGAAATTTACAAGCTGAGCTACCCTTTCTGAATTGTCAAAAATATGTTGGCACTTACCTGCCAATGCAGGCCACGGGCACGACACGAACATGCATGGGAATGCCATCCTGGAGGCCCTTACGGCGCACCGTTAGGATGCCATCGAACTCCTTGATGCTCCTGCCCTGCTCACTGATGATGGAAAGGTCGGTGTGGAAGATGTCGGCTAATGGCTTGCTAATTATTTCGTCCTGTTGTTGGATGGAATTTTAAAATGCAAATCTCATTAATGTCTGGAATTGCGTGTTGCACGCTGCATGCTGCACGAGCGGCCTCGGGCAGCTCACTCACCAGCCGCATGTTGAGGAGCCGCTCGGTGGCCCGATTCGCATACTGTATGCGATACACGTCGTCCGTGATGAGCACCACCTCCTTCAGTCGGTGCAGGGCCGTGTACAGTGCCTGTTTGGGGTAGTTGCAACAAGAAGCAAAATGCGGGCGTTGTGGTTAACATTTGCAATTCGATTAAAGCGTCAGGCAGCGATGTGCCATTCAATTGAATTAATGCATCCGGGAATTAACGTCTGTTAGCAAGCGCCAGCAGCGCCAGCAGCTTGCCCCCAGGTGGCATGGCATGTCATTAATTCAATTGCGAATTGCGTTTACCTGTTGGGTGGACATAACATTATGCGGCCGGATGATCGAGTGCAGAATCTGCTTCATTTCCACGCTGCACATCGCCAAGTTGGTCGTCTCGGCTATGCACTGAAAGAAAAATACGAGTCGTGTGTAAGTGGAAAGTGGCATTTAATTTGGCCCGAGAGAGTACAACATTGAGAAACTTACTCTATTAACGCCAGCGTCCAATAGAGCAATAAGTGCGTCATCCTTTTCAAAGAAACTGCAAAGAGGACATTAAACAGTTGAAAACCAAGTTGTTCAAGTTGTTCAAGTTGGGCCAGGGACCAATCTAATGTTCACTTACCTCTTCTTGCAGACCGTAATTATTGTCGTTAAATGATGTCCATGTGTGTGACGTATGGCTCTAATAAAGATGGAAGCAGAAGCAGAAATTGAAGGCCAGTTAAGTGGAAAGTTCATTGTTGCCTTGGGGCAACCAAGTTTAGAGAAATCACATCACGTATACGCAATGCTTGACACACTCACCTTGCAATGTGCTCGGCATCGAGACCCTTTGTGGAGCGCGCATCAATTATAATTAGGTGATAGCATTGCGCTGTGGCATATGACTTGTGCAGAGTTTCCAGTGCCTCCTCCTTGGATTTGACCAGCGTTACGTCCAGTTGATGACGCTGACACGCCAAGGTGATTACTTCGCAGATGCTATCCGATTTGTGAAAAACTAAAAGCGCCTGCAGTCAAATTGACATTGGATTGGGCATTAGTCAAATTGGACAGGGGCGCAGAGAGCTGCGGCAGCATTCGCTCTATTTGGGTAACGCTGAGCTGAACAGAGCTGAACAGAGCTGAGCTGAGCTGAGCTGATATGCTATGCTATGCTTGCTGTATATAGTGTATGGTGTTGTATGCTGTGCAGTGTGGTGTGGCACGTGTCAGCTTACCTTAAGTTGAGGATTCGGTGGTAGCACGGTTGGATATTTCAAGTCCATGAGATTTCGCTGCAATACACACACACAAATCAAAACAGATGAGCAAGAGGTGAAAGCAGGTGAAGCAACGTGTAAAATTTAATAAAAATCTACAGCGCTGGCTTTGCCATCAAAATAAGAGGGCTTAACTCAGCTTCTGTCTGTGTCGTGTCAGTTTACGAGTGTGCGTGTGTATGTGTGTATGCGTGTGCGTGTGTGTGTGTGTGTGTGTGTTTGTCACACACAATATGCGTTGCGTGTATGTGTCGCTAAAATGATGATAAATTAAAATAAAATTGCTTGCGCACCAACGGAAATTGTTGGGGCGCCATTTGCTGTATTTTGTGACTTGGTCTGCAGATTTATTATGCTCATATGAATAATTTCGATATGTGAAAATCGGGGATTTAATACACACACACACACACACAATCACTCGCTGTATACGTCTTGCTGTGTGTCAATTCAGTAATGAAAACACACAGGCTGACATCAAAAGGAACCAATTTCGAAACTATTTATAGCCGTCTTTTGAAATTACAACTGGTAATCGTTGATTTAAAAATCGATAACCATAAACCGAACATTTCTCCGAATGGCGTATGACAGCTATATTTTAGGCTTATCTAAAATAAATGGATTTGCTTAGCTTTGCATAAGCAATTTCGTAAAAAATTGATTCTTAAGATACTTCAAGTCAATTTTGCAACCTTCAGTCAAAATAAACACTCAGCTGCCCTTTCGCGTGAGATACTTATCGTTTATGGAGTTTATTGCTTATTTCACACATTTCAACAATAATGGAATGAGAATGAGATTTATATTTGAATTTGTGATCTCCTTAACTCATTCAGTTGCGTATAAATGTTGCCTATATTTCAAATGCGTAAACAATGCAATAGCATAGAGCATTTATAAATGGCGATGAATGAATATGTTATTTTATCACAACACAAAAATTGTTCAATTAATTATTCATTTACTTAACTTCTGAAGAGCAGTACACAATTTCAACATGTTTGATTAATGTTGAGTTAATTAAGTTGCGAATTGTTGATAGTACATTTTCTTCACTCTTTCAATGTCATGCTTCGAAATAATTACACTTTTCTTGCTGATACTCTGATATTCTGACGCAACATTTACGTACAAATTGTGTAGGCCTTATGAATATGCTTTAAATATACTTGTGAATCAAATGTCTGAAGTTTATAATTATTTGTAATTGCCGGAAGGATTAAGAACAGTTGATGCCTTCGGCAATTCAATCATTAATCAATTTTGCTTTAGTTTTTTTGCATTAAAATGACAAAATTTAGCTATGACAATTCAACGTTTTTTTGTCTTTCTTGTCGTCTTAGTTATATTTTCTGGCATATCAGATTGTAAATAAAAGAGGTGACTTTCTGACGTTAAATGTATATGGGGCCTGTCAAGCTGTCCCAATTACTATAATGCTTGTCAGCAATACCTGAAATGTTTTGAACTCATCTTCGTCACTTTGAGTCGCTGGCTTCTTGCCACTGCCGACCCAAAGACGCAGTTTGGGTCCCTTGTGGAGACGTCGCTCGTATAAACTGTGGCACTGGCGGTCGAAGGTGAAAACTTTGGGACGCAAAACCACACAATCATCGCCATCATCCGGCTGCTGCTGCTGTTGCTGTTGCTGTTGCTGTTGCGTTAGCCTGATTCTATCCTCGAGTGTGAGGTTGTTCAGACGCAATGCCTGCGTGTCCAAATTGCGTATGGCCTCGACTATTTCCGGCTGCAAAATGCGTCCGACTCCACCACCTGGGCCAGGGGCAACACTACCACCAATACCACCACCACCGAAGGCCATGTTCAACGACCTTGTATTGCGCAACAGCGGCGTCATTATATCCCTGCCCTCCGCTGCCACATTGGCCTCGTACTCCAATTCCATTTGCTCGGGTGTTTTGCTGGAGCTGTTGCCCGTCAGCTGTGTGACTGGCACTGGCACTGGCAAAGAGATTTCACCGCCAACTACTTTCATTTCCGAGGCCAAAATGCTGCCATTTGTCGCTGTTTGAATGATGCCGCTGCCGCTGCCGCTGCTGCTGCTGCTGCTGGTGGTGCTGTCGCTTTGCTTCAAGTCCAAGCCATTAGAATTAGCTGTGCTAACAGCGCTTATCAGCCGGCTCTTATCGACGTCATCTGGCAACGACTTTTTTGCTGTTATTGCCGTTGTTCTCGTTGTCTTTGTCGTCGCCTTGGCTGGTCGCCGTTGCTGCTGCTGCTGTTGCTGCTGCTGCTGCTGCTTTTTGTTGCCATTATCAAGCACTTGATCAGATGCCGTCGGAAATTTTTTTCTCGTTGCATTTGTTGTTGTTGTTTTTGCAATGACATAGCGCTCCGCATCGGAGTCCGCGTCGGACTCGTTTGAATTGGCGACGGAGGCAGCAGCTCTCGTTGACGACGATTTGGTTCGAAAAATTTTTGGCAAACAATTGCGCATTCTGCTAATTATACAATAACACTCACTGGCGCGCTGCTTGGCTACTTCACAATATCAATGGGCACATCAACAAAAACACTTGACTCGATGCTCAAACTGCATATAGTCTATTATACTCCAAATGTCCTTCTACGCCAGCAACAACAGCAACACCAACAACATCAACAACGAATGCAGAGCGTTTGCGTAAGCAGCAAAAACAGAAGCACTGCGGCACATATTATTGTCCGAAATGGTAGTTGTTGTCGAGTGCTCAAATTGAGATATATATTTTTGTCTTATTTGTTATTTTTTTTTTTTTTTTTTTGGTTTTGTAAATCCAGTCGAACGAGTCTTGACAGAATATGGGACACTGACGTCGTGAGCTATTTATGAAGTGGTCTACAAATCAAATATTTCACAGGTTATTGCGGTTTGAATCGCGACGGCGTCGAAGACTGACTAACCGACTCAATTGGCTCAACAATGGGGTGACGGCGACATACGAGTAGCTGGCAATGCGGTCGGTTAATCTATTTCTTTACTTTTTGATTTCCCACCTTCAATGTTAATTGATTTGATTTCTCTGGCGTCGCATTGTTTATATGCGCGCCAATGGCAAATAGCCCCACAAACACATAAAATTATTCACACATTCACAGACGCGGCGCGGCGCGGCGCTCTCTTTAACCAATACACACACACACACACACACACATATATATGTATATCTATTAATTCACAGTCTTTGTAAATGAGTATCAATTTAAAGAAACAGAACTGAGTCAAAATGTAAAGCGACGCAGAATATACAAAAAGGAAAAGTTATACTCTGGCGAGCGTGCCCATCATATACCATGAGCACTGATAAGATAGCTTATCAAAGACGTAACACACATGTGCGTTGTCGACAGAAAAAAAAGAAAGAAAGAAAGAAAAAAAAAACAAATTGGCCAGCCAAAAACGCTGGCCCAGGCGCAGCGAAGCGTAAGCGTCCAAATACATTTAATCAGCATCACAAAACGGCTTGGCCAAAAAAATGTGCAGATATGTAGACATATATATATAGATATATATATATATATTACCTGATACACGTCCATTGAGTCATCCTCGGGCGTGAGTGCCAGCGCCAGTGAGGACTTGCGGTGACCAGGACGACCGCCACCGGATGAGCTAGTGCCCGATGTGCCAGTGCCTGCAAAGAAACAACAGCAAAAATGATGATTGCAATACGATTAAGATATTATTACATGTGTCACTAAGCTGCTTGCGCTGAAAAGCATGCTACATTTTTGCGTGTGCGGTGCCAAATGTGTTGCCTACTTTTAGGTCGGCACTCGCAAATGGCCGCACGCACACAAATAAAGTAGGCACCCACACACACACACACACACACAGACACACACACACACACACATACACACACACACATAAGACTCAGACATCCCGTCTAGTCACACGTTTTATTTAATTATAAACGTTGGCATTTCAAAAACACTTTATAACCGGGCACACGTACGTTTAACCCCCGCTTAGGAATATGCACACCCACATAGACCCACACACACACACACACACACACACACACACAGACACAGACACTCGCACACCCGCATACCAAGACAATCCGCTTACCCACAAGCAGCTCGGACTCGGAGGCCGGACGCGTTAATGAAGCTCTGCTTGTTATAGTTGTTGCTATGGCTGTTGTTGTAGCTGTTGTTGTAGCTGTTGTTGTTGTAGCTGTTGTTGTTGTAGCTGTTGTTGTTGGTGTTGGTGTTGTTGTTATTTCTGCCTCCACGGCGTGCGTTTGAATTTGTCTGGCCGCCCTGCCCATCTTTAGATTGGACGCCACCGCCCCCGCCCCCGCCACCGCCCCCGCACCAACACAGTTGCAATCGCTTTCAACGCTTTCATCGCTCATGTGGGCCGACGATGTCCCGGACAGGTTTGCTGGCTGGCTAGATATGATCATTGTTGTGCGTTTCTTACGCGTTTATTCTTATATTATTTTATTTTTTGTTGTGTTTATTATTTTATTTTTCTCGGTATTTTCGGTATTTTCCGTATATTCTTATTTCGCCGACTTTGCAAATTAACTACAAATATTCAACATAATTATCGCTTTTGATTATTTTTCGTGGCACTATGTTAATTTTGTCATTTATTTTGGTTGTAACCGGTGCTGTAGCTTTCCCCGGCTGGCTGTTTGACTGTTTGTCTATGTTTATCTGTTGGGCTGTGCTGGCATTGATTTCAGACAATTAGTGCGTAATGATAACCTGCTCCACATGCATAACTACATGAATGTGTTGCCGGAGTACGTATCTCTATACTATGGGTATATTTATGAACAAAAATAGCCCTGAAACATAAACATGCGGAACTGTGTTGAACACTCCACACACACTGCTCTGCTCTGCTCTATACACAGCTCTACTCTACTCTACTCTACTCTAGTCTACTCTACTCTGTGCTGCTCTGTGCTGCTCTGCTCGGCGCGTACTCATATCATTTTATGTATGATGATATATATGTATGTATATAAATATGTACGCGCACTTATGTATATATAGAGAAAATATTTGCGTATATTCAAATAAATACATACGGCCTGGCCTGGCCTGTGTGTATCTTATCGTTGTTAGCGTCCGCCTGCCTCAGTTGCGCTGGCTAGCGGTACGCGTTGTAATCTAAACGAAAATCGATAAATTGTTTAGATAAAAGCAGCAGCAGCAGCTAAAGCAGCAGCAGCAGCAGCCGCCCGCTGACGTCGCCAGAAGTAAGCAACAGGGTTTTTGGTTTTGGTTTTGGTTTTGGTTTAGGCTTTGGTCGACGAGGCTATGCTCAGACACTCTATGGCCCTATCCAATTTTCAGTTTGAATCTCAAACATTTAAGGTTAACTATTTGAAGCACAACACAAACACAAACACACCCACACACACACACACACACACACACGCAGGAGTAGTAGTTGTAGAAGTGGCGCCAATATTAGTGGCTGCAAAAAATACTTACAATACTTGCTCACATTAAGGCTCATGTTACACACGGACACACACTGGCAACAGTTACTGGCGGCTCATTAGTGTGTAAAGTGTATGCACAAGTTGCCTCTGGACGGGGCACGGCTCGTTTCGAATGGTTTCGAAGGTGCGCTTGATTTTGATCGATTAGCACTTGGCTTATTTACGAGTGTGCATGGCGGCGCCGTAGTTGGATGACGACGACGACAACGACGACGGCGACGACGGCGACGGCTACACTATGCAAACGAGCTGCAGGCAATATTAAAATTTAACTGCTCGGCAAACAGGAGCACACACAGTTATGGCAACGGATATCGTTATTTGCAAGGCAAACACAACCACAACTGAACAGAAGCGAAACTTTAATGAAACTCAATTTGTTCTTATTCAAAGTTATGTTATGGAAGCGCACAGCAGAACAAGAATAACAACAACTGGGAACTGGTAACTGGATGATAGTACTGTTGTACTGACTAGACCAGGCCACTGCGAAACGTCCGCACTAATCCGTTATGAAAAACTGTTTGCCAGATGATAATTCTCGCACGGATTCTGAAACCGCAAGCGGCCGCACTGCGCCCTACACACCAAACTCTCGGCATGTTCGCTTTCGTCGCCCCTTTTGACCCGGTACAGCAACCCGAGGCTGCTAAGTAACGGGATAATCTTTTATGTTGGCCTGTAATCACAGCTTAAGCCTGCATCTAAATGTATTTGATTTAAATTAGCTTTTCGCAGTTTGTTTTACAAATTGAAAATTGATGATTGTTGAATATATATAAAATGGATATAGTATTATAGAGACACCATACCAAATATATATGTAATAATTATTTATTATCCCACGCTACATAAGGTCAGGCATAATCACATTCATTCATCATTTATCACCATTTATCAGAGTTTAATTCAAGTTCAAATTTACAAGTGAACAGCAAAATCTAATGCGAAAATTATTGTTTTCATAAGTATCAGCAAAGTGTGTAAATAATGCCATCCTCAATTCAAAGGAACAGAATTATTATTAGTATTTTTAATGGTGTTGCACAACAATTCCATTGGATTTCTGAATAACAGTTTATATATAAATTTTCATAAATCCAGCCGCAGTTTTACAGAAATGAATTTCTTGGAAATGTTTTAATGCCGAAAAACATCTACAAAAATATGCAATTAAATACATACATATATAAATATATATATATATGCACTTCAATTGAAATTGTTTTTGATAATAATAATTCTTTTTACGCACTAATAACACTCATCGATTGAAAAATAATGCCAAATGCATTCATGTAATACCAAAATGCATTAGAGTTATTAAAGTATCTAAATAGGAATTATAAGAATGCACTGCATTTTCATTATATCATTTTTATTACTTGATATTCTGTTTATTTCAAATCAAACTTGCGTATGAAATCTAATTCAGTGCTCGATGCATTTTTTCTACCTGCAATTTGTTATTCTAGAGACGTGATATTTGAAGGCTTTAACATCCGCTGTGCGCGAGCATATTTTGAATATATATATATATATACTGAGCACGATAAAAAGTCAGGCGAGTCAGGCAAAATATATTGCAAATACAAGTCGAATAAATGACAAAACAAGGATATCACGTCATATGAAAATAATTAAATTTTGTTGTAGATTTTGTGTGTGTGTGTGTGAGTGCGTTGAGGAAGCGATTCCATGATGTAAAATGAGTATTACGTGTTTCGCATTTAAAAATAAACTCTGCAAAATGTATATATGTATTTAATTTAGTTTTGTGGCTGAGGCTGAGGCTGAGGCTGCTGTAGAGCATTTGTCGGATGAGAGTAGCCGGTCATTGGAGTAAGAGTGTCTTTTGCGCCTTGGTCGTTGTCATGACAACCAATTAATTTTTGATAAGATAATATCAGGCAAGTTTGCTCATAGTATTCAGATGTTTAGGCCCCCGTACACACAGAGATACGGATACTGAAACACAGGCGTATAATGCGTTTTCAGAAACACACTCACACAAACACACTCACACACACACACACACACAGATACACAAACAAATAATCAAGTAGAAAACAAACCGCGTGCACAATCTACATCTATGTAC